TTTTTTTATTTTTATTCTAAAATAATTAATTTGATTGATTCTTCTCGATTCCTTTTTCTTTCCTTCCTTATCTGCAGAATTATCTACTTAATTATTTAAACACTAATTCGATGGATACTTTTAGCCTGGAAAATCCTTTTCGAGGAGAAGAAGATGAAATTTATTCCTCTTCCTTTTCTCATCTTTTTTATTTCAAGAATTTTCAAAGTTCATAGTTCATAATCTACTTTTTTTTCGCCATCAGAATTTTCTGCTTATCGTCCTTCAGAAGATTATCCTGCAGATATGGAACTCGAAAGAAAAAACCGATAGAATCATGATAATGATGATAATCTCAGAAGATGTATTGTTACTCTCTCTCTCTCTCTCTTCCCATCTCATCCTTTTCATCATCTTCAACTTCTGAGAATTATATTCTCTCTCTCATCATCCTCATCATCATCTTCATATTAATAACATTATTTATTTGCTACGAGATGAAAATTTACTAACAAAAATTGTAACTTAATTAACTAAATTAATCAACGAATGAAGAAAACAAAAAATATTAATAACTTTCTTTTTGATAACTAACTTATGATCACAAATAAAAGCAAATTAATTTAATTGTTACAACTTTTTGTTTCCACAATTATTGATAATCTTTTCCGATTAACAGAATTGGTTGATTAATGAAACTCGTGATGATGATTAAATATCGATATATATATATGATTTAAATTGTTATTCTAATCTAAATCTAACATCTTCCGTTCTTGACCTCCTTTTCTTAATTATCTCTGATTACCTTTCGATTGTTGTTAATTTGATTGACGCGAAACAATCACAAAGATAGTTAATTGTGATTAAAGGTTTTTCCTATTTTCCAAATGATTCATTTTAATTGTTACTAATTTCTCTTTATTTACTTTGATCATTGTTACTAAATGCGAAACTAGATCAAATCAATTGATCAATCCATGTGATCCTGATTAGCTAATTGTTTGCTTAATTAAGGTGTGGAGATGCTCAAATTAATAAATAAACAAGGAAATCCCAATTGAAACAATTAAGATTCAATCCTTTTCTAATATAATAATAACAATAACAATGGACATGAATAACTACAGTTATAATTATAATAACTGTTAATTTATCAATCAATCAAATCAAATGATTTACTAATACAATCAAGGGAAAACAAAAAGTTATATTAATAACTTTCAATTGTTATTATTGTTATGATTTAACTAATCAGATAAATTTTGTTTTCCTCTTTCAGCTCAAATACAATTAATAAACAAACACGATACTCAATTAATTACTGATAATTATTATTAGATAATCAATTGGTTTATCATAATTTTGATGGAAAAAGCAATTATTTTCTAGGATAAAATTATCATCTTAATTAATGAATTAATCCGTTGGAGCATTATTATTATATGAAAGATAAAACCAAAGACAATGTCACTTTATAGCCCAACCCAAATTACTGATATGAATTATGATGAATATCAAAGTTATAAAAACATTGGAATCAATTTTAAGTGTCACATCTTAAGCATCCTCATCATTTTCATCATTTTCATCATCTCATCATCTTAATTGAATATAAATATAGTAAATATAGAGAGAGAGAGAGAGAGAGAGAGAGAGAGAGAGAGAGAGAGATTGTGATTCTATCAATTGATTAATTTGTTTCTGTCTCTTCCAATATAATGAATTTAAGATTTAATCTTCTCGAAAGATTATTATATCTTATATTCAAAGTTCCCTATGGATTAGGTTTATATATTTTTCTTAATTGTATTTCCTACATTTGAGTTGACATTTTAATCAATTACAATCAACATTATCATTAACGGTTAGTTAACATTTCCGTTCTCAATTAGTTGAACACAAATCAATCATGAATATATATCGTTACAAATATTCATGTATTCCAGTTAATCAACTAATTGCACGCAAACATGATGAAATTGTGGCTACAATTTAATTGCAATAATAATAATTATCTGGTTAGATACAGACATAAGATAATATTAACACCTTAAGTATTAATTGAAGAGACTGTTGATTTGGTTGGAAAAAGCAAAACATTGATTAACAAACAGATAGTAAATTAATCAGAAATATGATTAACTGATTGTTACAAATAACTTTTAATCCTAACCGTCGATTAATTAATTGTTACTATTGTTTAAAGTTTCCAGCCGTTGGTTTTATTATCCATAATGTTGATAATACAATTTAGTTGGAAATTGGAAAATCAATATTAACCTAATTGTTGGTTGAGAATTTTTTTCTCATCTTATTTTTCTGTTTCTTCGTTAGGATTATGACAAATATTCTTGATGATTTTGATTTAAATATCATCATTATCATGCTGATGACGATAAAAAACTGTTGATGACGAAAATGTTTCCATTATAATACCTTTGAATACCCTATTTTTGGGTTCACGAAGGCTCATCAAAATAATTGATACACTTCCTTGTGAAAAGGTTAATAAACAATTCCCAACTAATCCACTCTGATTATTGAATGAAATTTTCGTTCAGTTTCAGATGATTAATTGTTTATGATCAAACATGAATCTCCTTTGACAATCTTGAAAAGATTTCATCATATTGGAAGAAATTGTGAAAAAATAGTTAACGTTGATATCAAAAGAGGGCGATAGCTGATTAACTCTTGATTTCTGGTCAAATGTTGACAATTAACTTACAATTTAAACAATAATCATTTCTAGAGAGTCTTTGGTTCTGATCTCTTCCTAAAAGATTGAGTGATATTATTGAACCTGATTCTATGCGGAAGTTAATTTGTCATCGATTAGATAATTAAGTTATGGTCGAGCTTTTTTCTTCTTGTGTCCATCTATTTAACTATTGATAAAGATTGATGGTAAATCCATAATTATAATAATAGATCATTCCAACAATTTAAATCTAACTGGATTAATCGAGTTAAACTTGGTGAGGTGACAATTTTTGTTTATTGTCAAATGAGATTAATGATTGATTGTGATGACCCGAAATTTTGATCATAACAGTCAGGAAATGAAGAGATACAAAGATCAAGTTAATTACAGTTTTTTCGATGACAGTAGTAGACTAATTAAGTTCCAATGGGTTATTGAAATCGTAATTCGATTCGATCGATTCTAATCCTAACAATTTCGAAGTGTTGATGATCGAACTCAACTTTCGATGGACATTTGATGAGAAAGAAACTGAGAAATCTATCAATTTGGTAATGAACTTTAATCTTATACGAAATGATTGAGAAAAAACTGTTCGAAACATCATATAAATACAATTATAATCGTTAATTGATTACAATTAAAAAAAAATTCTAAGGAAAGAGAAACCTTGTGACATCTATCGTCATAATTTCCAACTAAAACTTATCAACTTTTCCATCGTTGGAAATGATTAATGTTCAATTAATCAACTGATAAGTAAATTGTAACTGATTAACTTGATAATTTGATTGAAGATTAACAATTTAAATTCATTTTTATCCTTTATGAATGCTAATTAGGTTTGATTAACGATTTTATCAATTGATTAATTAACATTCAATATGACATGTTGTCCCTCTCGCTAATGATGATGATTATATTAATTAGTTACAATTAATGATTATAAATGAATCAAATGAATCAAATGAAAGGGTTGAAGAAAAGTGTATTGATGATAATGATAATTAATGGATATATAATTAACTTGTTAAGATAATTTCACGTTTCTTTACTTTCTTGATTAGTTAATTGTCCTTGGATGTGTGTCATCAAATTGTTGGTGATCATGTCGATTAGTGGACAAGGTCCAACCCTGAGTGAGCTGAAAATGGGAGTGGGAGGGTTGAGCATTTTGATATTTTCTCAGTTCTCAATTGTTGATTCATTGTAACATTTGATTTGATTTGATTCACTTCATTTCGCATTGATTGTGAACTTTGTCATGTCCATCGTTGATTGAGCTCTGAAATCTAATCATCAAGTAAATGGTTTAAATTAATCATTGTAATTCATAATTTATCTTTAATTTAATTCAGTTCAATTGATTGTTATCTCATTTCGAAATCATTAATGAACAAAAAAAAGTTACCCTGATCATTAATGTTCATCTAATTGATACAATCAACTGATTCATTTCCGAATTTGAATTTTTTTTTCTTAATTTACCTTTCGTTTGTATTGATATAAATTCATTTATCTTGAGGACAATTTAATTTCTTATATAATCAAATTGTCGTTACTAATCATTATCAGAATTATTTATCAATGATAACATTGAATTGAGCATTTCGGTGAAAAAAAAGTTTCATTTAACTGTTACTCTTTCAATTTAAGTGTAACTATCAATTTCAATTTAATCAGTTGAATCTTAAATATTTTGTGTTCTCATTAAACTGACTAATTAAAGTGATTACAAGATAATTAAGATTTTTACAATAATAATTAGCAATCGTGTGAGTGATCATTAGATTGACTTACAATTAAGGTCTCTTTGATTAATCACAACCGAATGTCAATTGATTAGACTAAAAAATTAATCGGATTTCATGAAATTTAGTAACAATTAGCTGATAGAAAACAATGATTGGTGATTTTTTCCTCATAATCACTTGTGATTTAATTACTGGATATTACATTAATAGTTGTTGATTATCACTTGATGATTCAAATTTATTAGAAAATCAAGTTAATTGTAAGATCACTACCAAGAATTGTAATAACAAAAGTCTATTCAATTGTTACAATATCAATTGATATTGAACTTATCAGATAAAATGAAAATCTATTGTTTTGATTAGTTAAATGATTCTGGCAACAAAGTCACTTTGATAGTTAATATAAACATGATTAATTAATCATGATCCAAATAATCAATCCTACTATCTAAGCTAATATAATATGGATAATGAGTAATAATATGAGTCCTAGAGTCGTACGATCAAAGTTACCTCCTAATCTTGATTGAGAATTGAAATAAATGTAACCAAAGACAATCAATTTACTCATTATATGAAAATTGGATTTACGGATCAGCCAAAATTAAAACAGTTTGAATTTAATCATAATCAAAGTGAAAATGTTCATTAAACTTATTGTCCTTTGTTTACTTCCAGTGTCCATCCTTTGTACTGTGAGATGGGAGGATTGTGGTCAAGCTGATCGGTCACTCGTTTTTCACAAGTTGAACTTTGCTTCTGATAGAATTGTCATTGACGGTAAACAACCTCTCAAAGCTGAAGTTTCCTTTGACCTTCTCGACTCGCTTGACTATGATGTCCAAATGGACGCAACTCTGAGGCGATATTTTACATTTTTTGGTATCAAGCGAAGTGTCCAATTACCTTGTGTCAATGACGCTGGTAGTTGTTCCGGTAAATTCTGTTATTTTGTTCAATCTTATGCTAATCTTGCTCGTTCATTTGCTGAACAACTTCATGTACCTTTCGACTGTCGCATGCAACCCACAACTTATGCAGGTAACATTTCATACGCTGTACCACCGACCGCCTTCAAACGTATTCCATCAGTCATCACCGAAGCACTTTCCGTAAGTATTGCCCATTCAAATTCTGAAAAGAAAACAACATCAACTGACCAATTTCATTTCTTAATCCATTCCCAGGGAGTTTACGAACTTGTAATCCGATGGAAATCTGATGGCCATGAGCTCGGCTGTTTAGCTATTTCTTCCGAACTTGCGATCAATTTTTAATTCTCATATTTATCTTCGTTCTAAATTTGCAAAGTCTTTCATTGAAACCAATATTTAATTGTCACACTTTCGATTTACATGTAATCATCAATTCCAAATAAATATTTATTCAGCAAAAATGAATCTTCAAACTTTGTAATCTCGTACCAAAGTCTTCACGAATATATAGTTGACCTTCAAATGAATACATTCATGAATATTTCGCACGTAAAATTTTCTATTATACTATTAATAACTACAAGATGATCTGATCTTTTTCTATTGTCAATCATATTATAAGTATTGATTGGAAAAGAAAAAAACATTCGGTAACTAAAGAATTGGCAATAATGAATACGACAGGCCTATGATCAGTTTCATGTTGATAAAACTCAAATTAATGTCACTGAGTTCGAAATGGCTTCGAAATCATTGGTAATCTCATTAACAGATAAACAAATCCAACAATATGACATTGAAGTAAATCATATCATCTCTTTTTAATACCAATACATGTATTAATCGTCAAAATGAAAGTGCTCTCTCTCTCTCTCTCTCTCTCTCTCTCTCTCTCTTGTATCCTTCTCTTTCCGTTCTTCTCTTACTTTTCAATTCTCGCGCTTCAATTAACGTTTGTGTGTCTGTTTATGCTAATAACTTTGAGTTAGAATTTCTCATGAGCGGGTGCTCAGATTTTCTTTGCACTATGTTTCACCTTTGGTGGATTTTCTTATACGTAAATATTTCATAAAATCCTCTTAGCTTGACCATCTCTTCCCGAAAGTTCTTATTCATGTTGTAAATTCATTTAAAAATCAGTTCAATTATGAAAAAATCGAATCCAAAACACAGCAAATATAAAGTGTCAATGGTGAGATAAATACATGCGGATGAACTTTCATCGTTCTTGTGACTGTGGATTGAATCGGCATACCAGCAAGATAATTATGGGAATAGTTTTTGTGGAAAGAAAATAAATTAACTAATCATACTCATAATTATCAACGTTACAATCTAAAAAAGTAATCTGAAATAAAGAGATTAATATGAATTTCGTTTATTGTTAAACTGGTTAGATTAAATTTATCTCTTAATCTTGATTGTGATTGAAATGCATTATAAAGACAATGAAGTTAACCATCATTATTTCAGTTGAATCAGAGATCGATTAAGTCTAAATCAGTTTGAATTTCAATCTAGTTGAAGTGAAAATGTTCATTAAACTTATTGTCCTTTGTTTACTTCCAGTGTCAATCTTTGGTGCTGTTAAATGGCAAGACTGTGGTCAAGAGGATCGGTCACTTGTTTTCAAAAAGTTGAACTTCGCCACTGAAAAAATAACCATCGATGGTAAAAATCCTCTGAAAGCTGAAGTTGACTTCGACCTTCTCAATCCGATTGATGATAATGTCCAAATGGACGCGATTCTTAGTCGGCGATTCACAGTTTGGGGTTTCAGTCAAAGTATCACAATTCCTTGTTTCAATGACGCCGGAAGTTGTTCCGGTCAATTCTGTTATTTTGTTCAATCTTATTATAAACTTGCTCGAGTGTTGGCTGAACAACTTCATGTACCTTTCGATTGTCATATGCAACCAACAACCTATGCAGGTAACATTTCATACCCTGTACCACCGACCGCTTTCGAGAATGTACCATCAATCATTGCGAATGCTATTTCCGTAAGTATTACTATCATAACCTATTATCCAATCATATGAAAAGGTTCTTACCGATTCTTGACAATTTCCAGGGAACTTATGAACTTTCAGTTCGATGGACATCTGATGACCATGAGATCGGCTGCTTATCCGTCGTTGCTGATTTGGAAATCGACCTTGAATGAAATTTTTTTTCCACAATAATAGTTGATAAAAGTTTCTAGTCTAATTAAATTATCGTTACAATAAAAAATAATCTAGAAAACAATTAAATAAATTATCATTAATTTGCTGTGGAAAATTAGAGTACTTGAAAAGCTCAAAGTAATAAAGTCTAATTGTTATAACATTGAAATCACAATCAAATTAATTGATAAACAATGAAAATTGTGATCAAAGATTGATACTTTATCACTTGGAATAACAATTAAATTAATATATCTCATGATTCTGATTGAAGGTTAGTTTGATTGTTGCATATGATTTTTCATCAATCAATTGTCAATTTAATCAACAAGAAACTCAATACCTAAAGTAACAATGATAGAAAAAGAAATTAAATTAATGTAAAAGTTTTTCAATTGACAAAAAGTTTCGACTTTTTTTGTTCGAATAAACAAAAAAACATTTAATTTAATTGCTCATATCACTTTCGACTTCGACAAGTTTAACAGAGTTTAATACAGTTAATGTCCATTAGAACACAATATTTACAGTCTATGGAAGATAATAAGAAGAAGATATATTGAAAGATAAGAATATATTCAATTTGGATAAAAGATAAACTCTCAACTGTAACGAAATGGATAATCCACTTGAAGAAGAGAAAAAAAATATATATTATATTTTATTAGAACAGAGAATATTATCATTGTTATCACATTTTCTTATCCGTTGATATGAACGGAAAAGACCATAAGAGAGTCAGAGAAAAGTATATGAGGTCAATCTTATAACAAAGTTTCGAGATGAAAAGGAAACTTGTCTTCTTGAGGCTTCGAAAAGGACACAAAAGGTACACAGAGTAAAAGTCCGAGAAAAAAAAGTAAATCACATCAAAGCAGAGAATAAGAAGAAAAATAAAGATAAATATACCTAAACCAATGGACTTTATCATTAAGCAATATAACATTGTAATTCTCTAGCAAGTTAACTGAGTCAGTGAATCTCTCTCTCTCTCTCTCTCTCTCTCTCTGTCTATGGTTTATAAACATTTATCATAGCCCAAGAAAAGTATTCAAAGTTTGCAAGGTAGAAAAAGTTTTAGATTTTAGCCTTTATGTTGTATTATAAACAGAAAATGCTGGATAAGCGTAACAGAAGACATTATTTCTGTCCCATTATCTTCCTATTTCCACTTTACCCTCTTTGTTATCATATAAACATTAGGGGCTTCTCTCTCTCTCTCTCTCTCTCTCTCGTCATCATCAGCATCTTCATCTTGTTCATCTTAAATCACCCCCTTTTGTTGTATATCCTCGACACCTTTTCCGGCTAAACCAATTTCTTTATAATAGTGATAATAATAATGATAAATGTACATTGTCCTTGTAATTTACCTTTCAAATATGACGAACAGGTAAGTTAGCAAGAAAAAGAAAGAAAAATAGAAAGGGAGAGAAAATTGTCACTTGAATTGCGAAAAAAAAAGTCTACGAACTGTCACACATTCAACTTTAATCTGTGGTTTTAAATGACTCTCTCAAAGAAAATGTACCGTTGTAAAGTGCGACACTGTATCTATGGAACCACTTAGAACTCATTTGATGTGACATTTTTTCCGAGTCCATGAAATAAATTTCCGTCGAGATTCAATAAAATTTGTTTAATCGCCAATCAACTGATTAGTTTTAACTTTTAAAATCTTCCGATAATCAGAACTTTTCAGTTAATTTCGTGTTTCATTTGATTGGAATTACGTTTTTTACCAAACAATTTGCTCTTATCGATTTTGGTTCGGTTGTATTTCCTTTTTATCCTGAGACAGTAAATGAATCATATTGTAATTATCAACTAATTAGCCGATAACTTTAATTGTTACCTGAACGAATCGTAATCAAACATTTTAAAAGAAAAAGAAATGGATCAAATTGGTCGAAACACGAATGTCGCGATGGTACAAAAGATCCTTGCGCCAACTTGAGTAGCTCAAGTACTTTGATATTTGATTTTTCGAACCATTGATAACCTTTTCTCGAATTTCCTTTATCAGTTCCAACCATTAGCTTCTTCACTCTTTATTTCTCTTCATATATTCTAATAGAAAAATTATTTCCACCTCCTTCTCCTTCACTATTTCTTGTTCCTCTCTTACCAACTCAACATTTCCTCCTTGTACTTCCTGTATCATCATCTTCCTCCTTCTCCTCCATTCCTGCAGAAATTACCACCTCTCTCTTTTCATCCTCATCTTTTCATGTCTCAGGCCTGATCCTTTTCAATGTTCAAATTTCTTTCTCCTTATTAATTTACTTATTTCTTTTCCGTTTCGAGTTTAAAAGTGTATTGAATGAACAAAAAGCCCAAGGAAAATAAAAGAAAAAGTAAAAACGGAAAGACCTGAAAATGAATATGAAGAAAAATGATCAACTTACCCAAGTATCTAAAAGAGCAAATATTTTGATGGAAACACTTTTATCCTTCATTCGACTTTCGAACTAATAAAAAAGTTCTAAAGTGGTAATTTGACGAAACAATTTCAATATTTATTCTATTAAAAGACATTGATGATCAAATAGTTAATCATTATACGAACATTTAGATTAATGGTCAAGTTAACTGTCCAAACTTTGTCTAATTGTAAGCTGATGATTTTTATTTGTGATTGATCATTACCCTGATTATTTAGTAACTAATCAGTCATGATTAGTTTAAATGTTGAAATTATGTAAAACATTATATGGGATCGGTAAGATAGCCCAGTGTCCAGTTTATCTTGGTCACTTTGAGGCCCAAGTGACCAATGGTCAGAAGGCCTCAAACTGAATGTTATGTTTTATTTATCATTGTTTTTATCTCATCGGCACATAGACACGGGTCAAGATGATGACCAAGCCCAAATAACCATCTTCAATGAGCCTTAAGCTCAACTGACCCTCAACTCACTAAGTGCCAAGCCCATTGACTGCTTATCAAAGATGAGCATCAGAAGCATTTAATAGTTAGACTCAACTCGATAATCAGTCTCTATTAAAATTAAGATTGATTTGTCAGTAGAATTGTCAACTTTGTATTTAACTTACAAGTTAGTTTTGTTTTCTATTCAATTTATTGATAATTTTCATTTAACATTTAAAATTTACAATAAAATCTCAATGATTAGAGATGAGGATGAATATGTTTACATTAGGATAATAAAGTTTCAAAGTCAAAAATATCATCGGGATCACATTTGATTGTGTCTATTGTTGTGTCATGAAGGGAGTAAGGTGACATTTCTGAAGGTGCCAACGATTTGGGTGATAACATTGAACATGGTGAATGCTGTTGGTACTGTTGTTGATGGTGTTGGTGTTGTTGTTGGTTGATTATGATTGAATGTTGCTGTTGATTCTGATACTGATGAATTGAATTCATCAGATGATGTTGACCATTAATTGGACTAAGTTGGTCTTGATAGTTATTGGGTTGGTGTTGATGGTGATGTTGAATTGTCGTTGGTGAACATTTAATCATTTCTAATGATTGGATTTGAGGTAGTTGATTTAATTGTTGTTGTTGATGGTATTGAATTGGATGAGAGGATTGATGTTGATGTTGATGTTGATGGTGTTGATGATCAGGTAATTGAGATTGTGTTGAGATTTGGAGCAAAGGTTGTGATTGATTATGATTCAGTTCTTGTTGCTGATGAAGATGTTGCTGTTGGTGATTTTGGTGGCTCTGATGATTCTGATGCAGTTGATGTTGATGTTGATGATAATTAAAATTAACTGGTGTTACTGAAATTGTTGTTGTTGTTTTACAAGATGATGATGATGATGAGGATGCGATTGATGTTTGAACTATTGGTGAAGATGCTAAAGTGAGAGATGGTGATGAAGATGAGGGAGGAGAAGAAGTTGAAATTGATCCGATATAATTTTGATAATTCTGATTCTGTTGGTGATGATTTTGTTGCTGTTGACGATTCTGATGCTGAGAATCATGATGATGAGAATGATGATGATGAGAATGGCGTAAAGGTGACGAATCAACAGGATAATGAGGTGATAATGATTGATCAGGGGGAGAAGAAGATGATGAAGAAGAAGAGGAAGATGATAATGATGAATTACTATTGGGTGAACATAATAACGTGCTGATTGGATTCATATTTTCATCAGGCTCTTTTTTCATGACAACATCACTAAAGATCAAATTGGAGATGCAGGGAAAATAACAGGAGAGAAAATAAAAAAATTCGAAAAAAAGAAAAAAAACAAGCAAAGGTGAGTTTCCAAATAATAAACACAAAAAGGATAAATTTATGCAAACTAATCAATGAAAGAAAATCAATTGAGATGCAAAGAGAAAGAGAGAGAAAGTTAATTCTTACCTTGAAGAGATCGATGAATTGGATTGAATCGAAAGTGGTGATATCGATGAAAGTACTGAACTAAATGCTTCCAATGAACTTGTGTCTCCTTTCAAGAGTAACTGAAGTCGACGAATGTAATTAGCTGCTTCTCGAAGTGTTTCCACTTTGGACATTTTCTTGTTCTTATTTTGTTTCTCTTTAGGAATATGATCACGAAGAGTATTGAATCCAAGGTTTACCATTTTAACTCGATTACGTTCACGTTCATTACGACGAGCGACAGCAAATGGAGCGATGGTCGATGAGGAAGATGAAGATGAGGACGAGGACGAGGAAGAAGACGAAGATGCTATCGAGCTTGCTGATGATGTTGACGATGATGAACATGAATAAGATGGAACAAGTGATCGAGATTTGGGTGGAGTTGATGAAGATTTAATTGAGCTTCCGATTCGCTTGCGTTTAACTCCCGAAATTGTTGATGGTTTTTTATCTTCTGTCACAATAACAGTTATCATTGATGTTTGATATCCGATTGCTGTTGTGGCCATTTTAGTTTACAGATGAGAAACGATTGCAGGTAAAGTCGAAGGCGAAAACAATTTTCAAAACTTAAGGGAAAAAACTTTTCGAGGAAAAAAAGTTATTACAATTTATAATGTTCTATGTTCATGTAACAATAACATAGTACCTAAGTTTTGGCAATGAAAAAGTTATATCTTCGCTGTAACATCGAAATGTGACTCTTCATAGAAAAAAAACGTTCTAAAGGCGGAGATTACCTAGGAAATGGGAGCCAGAGAGAGAGAGAGAGAGAGAGAGAGAGAGAGAGAGAGAGAGAGAGCAAGAAGTGAATTTGCTTGATCAAAGTCTCTGATTTTAAAAGACAATTTTTACTCTTCAATTTCTGAGAATCCGATGAACATGCAAGCGAAAACTGATTGACATGATTAAACCTTTGATGATTAATCTCATTGGTATGAATTCAACCAAATAATTAATTGTTGTTTGATTATCTAAATATTGAAATGAGCAAAACTTAATCAAATTATTAACAATCGATAAACATCAAATTGATATTGAGATTTTTTCTACTCAAATGAATTACCAATACAATTAACAAGATGATTTACACAAATTGAATTGTAATTTACCTGTGAAAATAATCTGTGTCTTTATTTAAATGCCTTTGGGTGAATTGTAATTGTTTACCTGGTCTCATTTCAATGGTAAATCTGAATGAAAAATAATCCATAAGAAAATGTATCTTTATAATAAGACTCAATGTAAATAATGATTACCTTTATTGTTCAATGGAAGGTAGTTATTAGTTGGTCAATTGTGTAAATTAATAATAATGATAATAATGAGATCCAATGACTTGACCAATGGTCTAAATACAAACAGTAAATATGAGTATTAATGTGAATTTGAGGTGTTGGAGGAAAAGATTTAAATGTTAATAGTTTTAACATGAATTTCTTGACCAACGGTCAAGGGGAAATATGAAAAGAGAAAAGAGAAGAACAAAAAAATGGAATAGAAAAGTAAATATTAAAAGTGTGGTTACAAAGGTAAAAGGTGAGAGAGATAGAGAGAAAAGTTCGGACTTACAATGTTCTTAACGATAAGATCCCTTTTGTCAAAGGTCAAAGACGAAAGCGACTTTGTGGGTGCTTGTGATTCTAAGGGCAAGTAAATGTAATGGCAGTTAAATGGCGACTTGAGACTATCATGAAAGGCGTGAATCAGATGAGAAAAAAGAGAGAGAGAAAAGAGAGAGGGTAAGGTAGAAGAAAGAAAGAAGAAGGTGGAGGAAGATGAAGAAAAGGAGGAGATGATGAAGGATAAATAGGAGGAGTGAAAGAGTTGGAATAGAATGAAGAACAAGATCAAATCTCTTCTTCTTCTTTTATTTTCTGTCAAAGAAAATTCATTGAATGGACAATAGATGGACTATGTCTCAATTTCAATTCGAAAGAAAGAAAAAAACAAGAAACTTTTCCATCCACTGACCACCCTCACCTTCCATTCAATCGTTTCTTTCATTCATTTCTCCTCTGAAAAGAAAACCAAAGGTAAACAACATGAAATAGAATAAAAAAAATACCTATGGAAATAAAAAGAAAACTTTTCTCTCAACTTCTCTTCTTCTCATTTACATGTATCATATTCACAATTAAATGTTATCATAAATTGTCCATGATCCTTATGGAGTAAAAGTAGTTATTACAATCGGGATAATAATAAGTTATCACCATTGGAAAGAAACAATCTAAATAATTTTCCTTTGTCGATTCTTAAAATTAATGATATGAGAAAAAAATTCAACAAATCCAAAGGTAAATCTATCGAGTTGATCACAATCAGTTATTCTCAAACTTGATTCGATCATAAACCTTACAAATTTTTCGTCAACCTAATTGGATTTTTTTCGTTCCTATTTGGTTTGACAAAACGCGTGTTTATTTACATATTAAACTTTGTTAATTGTCATCACCGTACAACCTTTTCCACCACTATAATTAACATCTCAAAGAAAAGTTAATTACAACTGTTAAGTAACAACATTTACAATCAATTAAGTTGATTTGTCAATAAGAGAAACGGTAGTGACAACGCCCAAAGGGCTAATTTGTTGTTTCATCGTTACACTTGGATTCACGTGTTAAGATACTACCGCACGTCCGTACGTTTACCGATCGCGTGCCAATTTATTTTGTAGCGAAAAATTTTCGACATTATTTTCATTTTATCATAAGGCAATTAAATAGGATGCTAATGTGCTGAGTGGGTGAAACAATTGAGTAAACATTCAAATTGTTACAAAAGAAAAACAAAAACAAAACTCTCTCTCTCTCTCCACAATAATTAAACAACAACAATCAAAACTAATTGAAATGATTAATGAAAAATATTTTCTGCTTATTATTTATCTTTGAAATTTTATCTTCTAATAGCAAAACATTGGCACGTTGTTGAAACATCTCATTATTTTTCTGGGGTAAATGTTGATTACCTTGATAATTACAGGGTGCAGACAATTGAGTTAATATATTTTTCAAATATTCTCATTCCAATGAAATAATAACATTGAAATGGATTGAAAAAGCTAAAGGTAATCCCTTAGCTCGTTAACACGTTAGATTATTTCAATTATCAGTTAACAATCAGGTAAAAGGTGAAAGGTAAAATCCAAGGACAGAGAGAGCAAAGAATGATATTAATTGTTTATATTTCTACTGATTGTCATTAATTAACGGTTGATTGTTTGGCGATTCTAGTGTAATTATCGGCGATGATAAGTAAGTGTTGATCCATTGGCTCGATACTTAAATCAATTGATGATTGCTGAAGAAATTGGTTAACGTTATTATCCAATGTAATTGTTGAAAGTTGTGATTAATTGTTGATTAAATCAACTGATTTTTTTGCTTCTCTTTTTTACTAAATTCGTTGAGCTTTTACCTTTGATCTTATTGCGATTTCTTTGTGTCACTTGCGTCAAAGTTTCTCACCTGTTGACCATTAAATTTGCTAATCAAGGTAGAAATCAGAAAATCAATTCTAATTAACAATCTAATCAATTAACGAAATTATTGAACATTGAATTTGCTTTCAATGATCATTAAACAATCAATCGATTGATCAATTAGCTTCAAGATCGCACCTTAATTTATGATTAACTTATTCTCGCTATTTAATTATCGAAATCATTTCAATTGAAAAATGATTAAGATGATGATAAAATTAACTTATAAAAAGTCGGACAATTAAACGTGTATGCAACCAAATTGAGTGAAATTAGAGTTTAATTAATGTCTTAATTATCACTTTTGTCAACAATTAGATAAACATTATCATCATCATCGTTTATATTTACATTGAATTGGATTATTTTACTTTTCGTTGCAGGTAAAACATTCAAACTAATTGTTAATTTTCAACTAATTACAAAGCAATTTAACTAAATTATATTTATATCAATCTACATTAACACTGTCATTAACAGCTCCATTTACAATCATCGTAATTACAAGTCAACAATTAAATTGAGTTGAAATTTAATTTCATATCTAATTTATCATTACAATCAAATCTCATCAATGTTTCCAACCAAACAAAACAATCAACAAACTTTAAATTGTTGTAATATTTAAATTCAATTTATGACTATTTTATTATTAATTGTTGTTTGGATGTTTCTTCATGTATTAATTATGACCATCTAAATTGACTAAATCAGTAATTGATTAACTAGCAAATGATCATCATTAATGATTTAAAGTCCTTTTTAATTTACTTCGGATTCAAGTTAATTGTTGAGGTTTGTTAACTTTTCAAATGAATATAATATCTAATTGTTGGTTTCTTTGATTGTGATTATAATTTGGGGACAATTTAATGATTATCTTAATTGTGACTGACAATTAAACCTCACCCAAAAATATCAATTGAAACACCTAATCACTAATTAGTAATTGGATTTTTATTATAATTTTTAATTGTAGATCTAAATTGAGTTGATTAATTCATTAAATCACAAACTCTTAATATTAAAATGATGAAACAATTAACTGAATTACTTTCAACAAACATTAAGTAAATTGCTCAAGGGCAAATGACAATTATTGATTGTGTTGAAAAAGGGTTGTGACAATTTCATTTAATGTCAAGTTAATTGTCAACTAGTTAACTGATCATTTAGTATTTAATTGTATCACAATGTAAGGGAAACGCTTCGATCGGCTTCTTTCCCCCTTAATTATTTCTCTCCATCAACAATCAATTAATTATTATTTATTTATCCCGCTTAATCTCTGTAACCAATCATCTCTTTCTTTACATAAATACCTATGCTATTTCCTTTTCCACATCAGTTGAAAATAGTTGTTACTACTCATCTTTATGTTAATCTCTCAATCAGGTTATGTTAATGTCTAACCTTTAACTTATCAAGTTAACTCTCTTCCCAATCTCTCAACTTCTTTCCATGTTATAAATCTCAAAGTGTTACTTCAATAAACAATTTCCTAATTAACTAAATCGTTACTCAATTGCTCTTGCTAATTAGCTAAGAGGATATTAGGTAATTTACTTTAAACCCTCTCACTAATTGCTAGGATTGCAGTTCGATCATTTCGGTGCATTTTTGTAAGGGTGCCTGTACCTCATCCCCGTGAATTAATTAGACCGTACAAATGGTGGAGATCCCTCATTACTTAAACGAGTAATAACTTCAGAGAGTAGTGGTAATCATTATCTTGTCTGAAGGTAATCGTGAAAAGTGTGTTCCTTTTACACGTGTTACTAGCTCTGAGTGTGTTCTTTCCCTATGTGTGCTTTTTAGCAACAATTAGTAACAATTTAACAAAGTGGAGCTTTCGTCCTCATCTTCAATAGAATCAAAATTCTTCACATCATTCGATTCGAGAATTTATTCATCATTAAGAACAGCATTTTCTGTTCCAAACCTCAACACATCTTTAGTTGAATTTTTTCACGAAAACAAAAGAGTTAACGTGCACGATTGGACATTCAGTGATTCAATCATGTCTGAAGAAACAATTACGGTTGGCGCTTATATCAACGACGAGAATAATCGTCAAAAGCTCTGTGAAATTTATGGACTTAAATATTCAGTCCAAGGTAAAGCCTATGTCACCAAGGTCATTCGCGAGGATGACACAGCCTTTATTTGTGGTTCCTTTTATCCTATTCATCACCCATCGATAAAAAT